CAATTTCAGCATTAAAATGAGTTCCGTTATAGTAACACAGTCCAACTAGCGAACGATCAACATTCATCAGTCTCCACGCACCAGAACTTGGTTGATAACATTGGCGCTCATTATATATTCTGTTCTGATCTCGTACACAATACTTATTATAAATTTATGAGATCCATACAGGAACAGTACCGGCATATAATGATGTTGTGGTGTTAAGTTCTGTAACCCATCTTTCTAGTAATATTTCTCGTTTATAATACCCAAAGGAGCTACTATCACGTGATTGAAAACCCGGCACATAACCATAATATTTTATATCCGTCATACTCCCACTATAACGGTTACCACTCCATCTACTTCCTCCACCATCATGTGGTATATCTAAACTATAATCGCGGTAAATATTACCGTAAGAATCTCTACTCATTTGATAAAATTTTATTTTTGGATTGCATGCGGGAGTTTCAAATCGCATATCTCCATGTCTTGGTAATCGTGGGTGACCATAACAAGATAAATTACAACAAGATAAATTACAACAATCAATATACAGTTTTTCATCTTTACATAATAATAACAAAATAATAGCACGAAAAAATAACAATTTCAATTTTTATTTGGCGGTAGAGAGAGTCCATTTAGTAAGTCTAGGTTGTGTATGGGGTTGACTTCTAGGTATAGGATCAGACAAATCCAGGAGCCCATCAAATGGAGCCTCCATCTCCATTAATTTCTTGAGTCAACCCTCTCCCGAGCAGATTTATAAATAGAACGGCTTGTTTCCCGCGAAAAGTGTCATATTTCCGCGAGTCTCGTATGTCACCGTGAAAAAAGTTGGATGAAGTCGAACTCAGAAGCCCGTCCTTCGACCGTTTTCCTTTTTTACTATACGTCCATTTTTACAGTTTTACAGCCGCTGGGATCTGGGATGAAATAAAAGTTAATGAATTACCCGACTGAGACTGAGCATGAAGCGATGGGACAAAGGCAGCGAACTGAGGATCACGGAAAGGTTCTTTGCGAGTGTTTGTTTTTGTTTGTTTTGTTTTTTTTGCTGTCATACATCCCACATTTGAGCATGCACCTTGAAAAGAGTCGACGATTAAGCGTTCTGTGGACGATTTGAAACTTTTCGATGATCAGCGCCGAAAAAGTGCCAGGATCATTTATTTTTGTCATCGCCGTGGAGTGGATTTCGCCAGTTAAGCACCGTGTGCAAAAGCGATGACCTAAGTAGCAACTAAGGAGGAATGCTTCAGAAAAATTGCAGTCTTCCTTTACAACTGACTTGTATCACCATGAGAGTTGCCTGATAAAACTGGCACTTGAAAAGTTGAACAGAAGACAACAGTTGCTCGACCGTGAAGCTAACTCAAAAGTAATTTGCTAACGGTGGAATTTGTGACATCGCGCTCCAGTCCAAAGACCCTCTTATCTCAAGAAAAACAAAATGGATTGTATCTGCGCCCAAAGAATTATGACTGACCAACAGGAGAATTCTCAGCAATTAATGTAGAAGTTTAGGCCAATTCTTTCATTCGAATTCGCATCTGTAGATCACTTTTTTGCGAGAAAACAATGGCTGGGCTCGGCGTTACAAAACATAGCAGGGAATCATCACACTAACTGACGGACAAAACAACCACAGTATTTATTCAGACAAACGCATTTCGGATAAAAACTTGAAAAACTAGAAATTTGATTAATATTGAGTCATTTAGCCGAAATAAGAACCTTAACGCTCAAAAAAATTGGCTAAAGAAAACGAATCCTGTCAGAACTACAGACTGCAGGTAGAAGTTAATCCTTGCGCATGTAACAGACCAGCTTAATGTGAGACAAGCAACCAAAATAAATTTTAACATAGTCAGAGTTTAAAACTCTCCACAGTATAATCTACCCGCTAGAAAGAAAAGAAAGAAAATCTCTGAGGGATGAAAACGCTTAAGTCACGTTTCACTAGCTTATGATTTTGTTTGGCCTGTCAGCACCGGATTTCCTGCTGTTTCATGAAGTACAATAGCAGTGTCATTTAGTCGTTGTGATTGGCTCTTCCCACCGTCGGCGCGTCGGCGCGCGAAGTCTCCCCTGGGAACCGTTCTAATTATAAATCTACTCGGGAAAGGGTTGACTCCAAGGGCTTGTATGGGAGATGGAGGCTCCATTTGACAGGCTCCTGACAAATCATAATATTTTGTAACAGAACCATCAGATTCAGTAACCTTGTGATAATTTAAACGATCAAATTCGACGACCTGTTCAATAGTTTTAGAAGGTCGAATATCGGACAGATCATAGTATTTTCTCATGCGATCATTTTTATCAGCAGCTAAATGATGTTTATAGGGTTCAGTTTAAGTGACAGTTTTAATTGTAGGAGTGAAAACATTATCCGGATATTGTAATGATTGAGAAAGAGGAAGAGGGGGAGGAGTAGTTTGAGGCGTTATGTTTTTTAGTTCAGATTGAGTAGAACGTAAAGGGAACTGACTAGTAGTAGAGAATTGTCGCAAAGAAGGTGCAGGATCAGTTTTACATGGAGTAACATTATGTTCTGTAGCAAATTATTTTTAGTTGTTTGATTGTTAGTAACACGATTTTTTATATCAGAATGTGTAACACTATTTTTTGTAACAGATTTAGTTGGTCGATTGTTAGTATCACAATTATTAATATCAGAATGAGTAACACTATTTTTTGTAACAGATTTAGTTGGTATATTGCGAGTAACACTATTTTGAGTATCAGATTGCGTGTCATCATTATCAGACTCAGTTGTAGTAGCATAGCTATCAGAATCAGAATGTGTATTACTGCGTGTATTAGATTGTGAAGGGAACTGACTAGTAGTAGAGAACTTATATGAAGAATGAAGAGTAGGTGTTGTTGTATTATCATTTTTAGTCACATATTTAGTTATATCATTTTTAGTCACAAATTTTGTTGCATCATTATTAGTTACCGATTTAGTGACATCATTTTTAGTTACCGATTTTGTTACATCATTAGTTGTTACAAAATTAGTTATGTCATTTTTTGTTGTATCATTATTAGTGACATTTTTAGTTACATCGTTACCGCCGCCAGTTTGTGGTTTAGAATTATAACAACCGACACAAATATTTAGAAGATGAGAGCGCAAATCGCGTAAAATACGAAGTTTGTTTTCAAGTTCAGAAAAATCAATTTTGTTCTTATTTTGATACCATTTTTTGTTCGTAACGGACCGTAACTTAGGAATCATTAATTGTGACTCTTAAACATTATCAGTTTTAATTAAAAAATATTTATCAAGAATTTGTTGTTCAGTCATATTATTATATGTTGAGAAAAAAAATGAGGCAGATTAAGGTACAATGAATGAATTTGCATGAATCTACATAAATCAGTATGAATTGGCATGAAATAATGTTAGCAGATTAAAGCAGATTACAAGAAGGTTTTGTTATGCAATTTAATCAAGGCGGAAAGTTCAGTATTAACCCACAGCTTCTCTCTCTTTGACTTAGTCCTTCGCTGATTATGATCTAAAATTTTGATCAATCTATCGAATTGTTTTTTATCGGTCAAATAATTTTCATATTTCAGATAAACACGCAATTGCTTATTTTTCGTTCCTCTCATACATATATCACATATTAATTCATGTAATCTGCCAAAATATGCCTAAATTAGCATATATTAGCATAAATATGCTTAAATGTGTTATAAACTGCATAAATATGCCTTAACCGGTTAGTCGTTAGATTAATGCAAAAATAGTCAAATTAGAAAAACTGTCTAAATGTGCAGTAATTGGTTGACAACAGATTAAGGCAAAATAAGGCAAATTGGTGAATCTGCATGAATTGGTTGTAAATTGCCGACAGCAGATTAAGGCAAAATTAAGCAAACTGGTAAATCTGCATGAATTGGTTGTAAATGGTTGACAATAAATTTAGACAAAATAAGGCAAATTAGTGAATCTGCATGAATTGGTTGTAAATTGCCGACAGCAGATTAAGGCAAAATTAGGCAAATTGGTAAATCTGCATAAATTGGTTGTCAGCAAATTAGTGCAGAATAAGGCAAATTACTGAATCTGCATGAATTGGTTGTAAATGGTTGACAACCAAATTAGACAAAATAAGGCAAATCGGTGAATCTTCATGAATTGGTTGTAAATTGCCGACAGCAGATTAAGGCAAAATTAGGCAAATTGGTAAATCTGCATAAATTGGTTGGCAGCAAATTAGTGCAGAATAGTAGAACTGCATAAATATGTCCGAATTTAATTAAGCCATACATACCTTTTTATCATATTTAATAAATTTACATAAGTCAAAGCAAAAAATACAATTCAATGTGATAACCCCCAACATAATCACAACAAAAAGTAACAAAAAAATAGCAATAGAGAACAAACAACAATTAAGACACGGGATCTGCCGAAATCTGCATGAATTTGCCTAAATCTGCATGGAATGAATTAGGAGGTAGGTATTCTTTTTGGGAATTGCGAGAACGAAATAAAAAGTGCAAATAAAGCCGAATTGTATCAGCTGGGGGGAAAAATCTCCGTGATCCTCCCCGTAGTGACTAGTGACCAGTTTTTCGCAAAGGTTGTGTTTTCACTATAGGACAACTTTAGCTAAATAAAGTTAGAAAAGTCCGGAAATACAGTGAAAACACTTTGTCTAGTGTTTAGCAAGTTAACAATGCCAACTGTTTTCACAAGGAAAACCAACGGGTTTTCTTGCCTTTACGACAGGAAACTCACGCAGAGTTATACTACCTCGCAAGATGGTTTTACTTGTCCCGACAAATACCGCAGCCTGCCAAAACAATCTGGCAAAATTATTTTCCAGACGCTCGCCTTGTGGCCCTTTCGAGACAAATCCTTGTATGCTTGTAAGCATGGCTGACGAATTGCAAAACACTTCCCAATTCTTTCGCCGTTTTACAATTCCTCCGGACCAGTTGGATACTCAGAGTCTCGTCCAGGGCCTTACCTGTTTCACAGCATTGGCATGCAGAATCAATTCCCGCATTACGGGCAAGCAGTAGTTCTTCCATACCAAGTACCTATGCCACATGCGTCACCCTCGACAAGCTCAGTTGCGAGCAGCGAAAGCAAAAACACAACGAACGAAGAAAATCCACAGCCAGGAGCGACGAACAGGAACCGTGGCTCTAACTGGGCAGACGCGGAGACAAGCTATTTACTTGAATTGCGGAGGGACAATTTCCCAATCAGCAAGAAAAGAAACAGCACTGTGTGGGACGCCATCGTAAAGAAGCTCAATTCCATTTTTAAATACAAGGGAATACCAAGCTACCGCACTAGTACACAGTGTAAGGCGTGCATCAAATACCTTCAGGACATTCCAGATTCCATCCCTTCCACAAACTCTACAAAAACATGGCGGACAGTAAATAAGCTCACGTTCACCGCCTTCTCTCCCTTCTTCGTTTGGTTAAATTATGCAGTCTTTAGGAATGGACAAGTTTCGAGTGGCATTTACCCGATTTCTCGCTTTCTATTCTGACAATCCCTCTGGACTTAACGATGGCGAAACGCCGGCGAACTGGCAAAGTAAGGCAAGTTTCGCCCCTCACCCCTCGACCGAACCTGAATGGCCGCCAAAACTTTTAACCCGATTCAGTAGCTGAAGGATTGAACTACGCAATGATATGCAGGAGCGTCTGTAAGTGTGAGCCACTTTTGAGATTTAATCCACTGAATTTGGCTAAAATCGTATGTTTCGCTAAGTGGGTCAAAGGGGCTAAGTGTGTTTCCTCAAATTTTCTAAACGAAAAGGTGTTGCTGATTCTGGCCTGTATTATTTTAAAGATAAAGGCTCAATTAAAATAACAAGTAAATTGGAAGCTTTGGGTCGCACTCTTTTATCCGGAGCAATCGGTTGAATTTTGACAAAATTTGCATATTTCACAAGCATCTCAGGTCCTCATGTGGCGCCGAAAGAAAATTCGTTAAAAAAAAAATTATAGAAGCGAATTTCTCCAATCTGGTTTCATATTTGTTATATACTTATTAAAAGAAGTCTACAGAAAAATTATGAGCGAAATCCATTTTGTGGGCAAAACTGGATATGAGGATCTTAGAGAGACTTATTGCTCTTAATGTTAGTTTTGTCGACTTCACGTCTGTGTTCGTTAAATCTGTCCTTGAGAGGTCGCTTAGTTTCACCTACATATTGTAAATTACAACGGTTACATTGAACCATGTAGATCACGTTTTTAATGTTACAAGTAATGTGTGAAGTGATTGAGCGTGTTTCACCTGTAACGTGAAAGGTATAATACTGTGAGGCCGTTAGTAAGATATGGACAAGAGGCACAATTTTGTCCACAGCGGAAGGAGCCTGGCGGAAAATGATTGTTGGAGATAACGGGTACAGCTGCACTAACACCAGTACAGTGACCCTCAAATTCTAAAATTTTTATATTTGCGATTTTTGTGTTATTACTAGATGCTAGATTTACTCTGTTGCCTCACTTATCATACGAAACATACCCCTCTTTGAATCACTTCCTGCTCCCAATGACCACTGAAGATTTGACTCGTCGTCCTCCCATTCTGATTCAGTATCTACCTCCCTCCCATCGCACCTGACACAAAATGGCGATTAAAAAAAGAAGAATAGTAGTTTTTTTTTATTTATTTTTTTTAAGTTTAACCTATATTTAGATCATACCATAGCTGCTTTTCTATGGTGTTGTCGGTTCTTAATCTTTACTTACTTACCTGTCACTGTGCTTGCTCCTGATATCTTCTGCGTTCCCGAACCTTTCTGCTGATAGCAAGATAGAAATTGCATTCAGGTAATAAATAGTACTAATAGCAGTTCAGTAGAGACTACCCCAATGGTCATTTATCGAGTCGAGCGACAGGGTGTCTCTTACGGGAACAGATCTGACACATACCTAATTATCAATAATTAGCTTCATACAATACGCAAACCGAATCAATGGCGGTGTTAAGAGACAAATAGCAGGTTGTCATCCGTCGAGTGTTATATTCTTGTTAAGTTTTTAGGCAGTAGCTCGGTTACTTATTTTCCGCATAACGTGTGAAATCTGACATCATTTTCTCTAGCTGTGCCAAAAACAGCAGAGCTTACTACGCCACGCTGTCCCTGTATCTTCCAATACCAGTACATTTGACGTCATTCATACATTATTTATGATACCCGTCATCTTTGCACGCGCTTTAATTTGAGATTGATGGAATTTCAGGGGGGAAATAAACGATAAAATTTGCCAATGCGAGAAATCATGGTCGACTTTGTTTAATCTCTCAAAACGAAACAACGATTTAATAGCCATGTAAAATGTACGGTTTGAGTTTCGATAAAATTAACCTCATTATTATTTGCTGTGAGGACACCTACGGTTGCTACTGAATTAAATAAAGTTACAATGATCATGCACTTCCACCCATAATTTGCCATTATCGTCTTAAATATAAAAAAAAAGTTGTTCACTTCCTGTATTCAAGAATAAACAAAATCGACTGCGATTTCTTGTATTGGAAAAAAAAAGATATCACTTGTTTTTCCCCTGAGGAACCATGTGACATCTCTTTTATCCCATTAGTCCTTAAAGCGCGTGCAAAGATGGCGGGCATCGTGAGTAATGTGTATTGTATTAATCCGGCAAACATTTCCAAAAATCTTGTCAGCGGTAGCTGGTTATGAAGAATAAGAAGGCGGATCTACATGTAAGCCAGTTAAAAAATATTTTAAATGAACGAATGAATGAATGAATGAAGAAAATAATAGTAATAATTATAAAAGTAAATTATAATTATCATAAAAAAATCTCCCAGAATCCCTCGAGGGAATTTTTAAAAGGCTTTATAACTTTGACAATTTTATACGTAGAAGACTGTCAGACCACAACAAGATAACATTTCCCATAAAATATCTTCCCATGTCACATCTAAGGTAGTGACGTCATCAGTCACGTGACCATTTCTAGATTAGGTTTATTGTTGCTGTGACAAGATTTCATTAACGAGTTTTAAACAAATAGAATATTTGAAGTTTTAGTTGTGTGGGACATTTAAAAATAACCTGTTGACGTCCGGCATTTAAATTTAAGGGAATAATAAACATGAGTGAAAAAGTCTGGAGACTAGGCCGAGGGCTGTAGAGAGTCAACGTTTTATCACACGACAGGGCAAATTGGCGGGAGAGTAATGTTCTACCTTATAATTTTTTTCATGACTAAAAGAGGGACATGACGTACGTTATCAGTCATCAGTCACGTGATCAAAGCGTTTTGAACGTTTTAGTTCGTTTTTAAAGTACCTTTTATGTCAAAAAGTGGCACGATTTTGCCTTTTTTCTCAATAATTCTTCACACCGTATTGTAATTATTATTCCATTTTCAAAGCCGAACCAATCGAAAACTGACCCAGAAGTTTAAAAGTTGCGTAAATTGACCGATATTGCAAGTTAAAAGCGAAAAGAAGGCGTACTCGTGAGACTAAAATCCTTTTTCAACTCAACTGTTTGTTTGCCGAAATAAATGTTGAACGACCTTTGTTAATAAAGGATAATTTTTCTCCATTCCGGGGAGAGAGGTAATGTAGCAGCTCTTTTAACCCTTTTAAGGTGAAATGGTTTGCTACCCTAACCTAAAACAATGGAAATAACGATGAAAAATGTTGTGTTAATGTTTTCCTAGACCGATGAAAAGATACCTTACGAGCGAGAGATTCATAAATTTGCGGCATGGACCACGCCTGAAAGAGTATTAATGGGTTTATTGTGAGCTCTACGTCTAGCTTCGATCAGATAAAGATTTAATTCTACGCGGAAATTAAAGAAAAAAAAAGTCATCCTTGAAAAAAGTTAATCACCATAGAGAAGAAATATATGCCTCTTTTAAACCGAGGTGGTCCAGTGGATGGAGACGTTAATTGAGTGCTCGGGTACAAATTCCCTTGAAGCAAATTTTTCGTAACCTTTTTTTTTTTTTAAATTTCTTTTTTTACTCTCCTACCTATCTGTGTGCTGCATATGGCTAGTAACATAATGTGGTAAATTGAAAGCAAAGTTTACAGAAAAATAAGAAATGCGGTATGTATCGTAGCGTATCTATCGATATTAGTCTGGTATTTTTAGCGATACTATAATAATATTTTTACTAATCACATATGCGTAATTTAATCCGAGATGTAACTGCTTTGAGATAGAACGTCTGAATCAACTAAACTCGACAGTTTCAAATTAAATACGACTTAGTCGAATCTGCGGCTGAAACAGTCGAAAATTCGACTTAGGTTCAACAATTGAGTTAGAGGTCGCATTCACATGTACCGAATATAATGCATTAATTATAGAAACCCTTATCCATTTTGGATAAAAAAAGATTTTTTTCGAGAAACTGGGAATATTTACAACAAACGGAGTTAAATTGTGCACCATCATTTCCGACGTCTTAATCAACAACCGTATCTGATTTCTTTCATCGACTGAAATAGGTGCTCGGCACTCATAAGAAATTCCACGTTTGAAAGGGGCCTAACATAAGATATGTTTCAGCTTAGTGGTTTGCAGGCTGTCATCAAGTTGTTGTTTTCTTTTCAGTAAGAGCAATTCGTATCTCTCTTTGTAAATTCATTTTGTTAATCGGCTAGTGCCGCGACTTAAGAATCAACTGTATCTGTATGTCACTGGAATGATTTGTATATCAAAAAGAGCGATCAATTTTCATCCATCCATTTCAATAAAAGCAAATGGAATCACTCGCTACTATAGAGGACAACCTCGAACCGTGACTTCGTCGTATTAACCTGAGAACAGGCCCAATTTTAGCAGTTCCGATACATTTTCTCTTACGTGCTTACGCTAAAATTGGGCCTGATACAAACTCTCTCACGTTTGTGCTCACTGCAGCCAGACTTTGGCCTCGAAGCTGATTGGCTGTTGGAACAATGCCACAGGATCTGATTGGCTGTTAAAATCAACGGAAATTGAAAGTACTTCTTCCTCGCTTGGCTGATAGCACTGAAAAATCTTCGTGAATGATCCGCCGTCAGCGGAAAGAAGGATTTCGCTGTCTTATTTTATTGTTTTGCGGTCTTGTGGTAGGAAAATATACCTTTATATGTACCATGGAAATTCAGAAAATTCAAATAGTTGTCCATATCTTCTAAGGATTTGCTTCATTTACAGATCAAATGTGAGTGAATCGCGGCGTTGAATCGCTCTGCAGTTTGTTGACCGCGAACAAGATGCTTTTTGCATCGCTGTTCAAGGAATTTTTGTAAGCATTATTTTAAAAGCAAGTGCTGCTAGTCTTACGGTAACAGACTTGTTGTTCGCTTTCGCTTTTTGTAAACAATAAACCAGGAAAACTGATGTTCTCGCTCGATGGTTGTGTAGCCACGAGAGACTGCGAGGTTTTTCTTGTTCTTTATTTTTTCATGCTTGGTGTTGCGTAAAGTTAGTTTAATTAGTACCTTTCTTATCGCGCTTGGAGTAGTTTTTTTGTTAGCTTTTTTTCATATGCGTATTCTTTCTGTAATTCTAGTCTCGAAGTCGCGTTACGTAATCGTTGTTGTCAATTTTTGTAAGTTCATTAGGTTTATTGTTTTCAGTCCAGTTTATTATAAAGTTTTATTTTTTGGTCCATGTAATCAATCGCTTAGTTGTATCCGGAGTTGCCATACAGATCCTGTAAGTATAGTTTTTCCTGTAATTTTTGCTCGTTTTCTTAGTCATTTGTTGTTTTTTAATTATCGTCTTTGGAAGGTTTTCGGTCCGCGTTTATTGATTCTGTATTTTCTTTTTTTGCTGTAATTGTTCTAGTGAATCGAGAAGTAAAAGTCAAATTCAAACTGTACGAGAGTGTTTTCTACCTTCTGTTTGCTGTTTGTTAATTTCGATTAATAAATTAAGTGAGCTTTTCAGACCTGCAGTAAAACAGCAACACAACAAAGGAGAACTACAAACTGTGTTTGCAATATCGTTTTTCATTTTTCTTATAGGTCAGTTGACAATGCAGTTTTAGTAGTGTGGTTACGTCTTTCTAAAGTGGCAGATAATATATTTAATACCTAGATTTATAAAAAAAAAACGAAGGGCTGTTTCTATCGTCTTTCATGATCCAGAGCTTAAGGACAAGCGCACCAGGTGTTAAATAAGTATAACTAGCCGACGACTTTGGGGGGGGGTGGACCAATTGTGCCTTTGTATAACTGGTACAATCACCTGAGTCAGGAATGGAAGAAGTATGGTTATCTAGTAAATGGATCAAAGAGCTGGCTATTGTCAAGTCGGACGAAATTGCAGATGAGGCAAAGAGGGTGTTTGGAGATGAGGTCAATGTTACAACTGAACGTCAGCGCCACTTGAGGGCCGTCATCGGATCTCAAGAGTTCAAAGATCAATATTGTCGGGAAAAAATCCTTAGATGGAAAGGAGAACTCGAAGCACTATCTGAGATAGCAAGGAGCTACAATACTCGTCACAAATCTTGAAACACTGGTGTGATTTTCCCCTTCCCCAGTGTTGATTTGGGTATTACAGTCGTCTCACTGCTTCAAACTACGCCTGGCTCAACATTGCGGAAGGAGAGGGGCAAATGTAAGTGAGAACGAAGGTGTCAGGAGTGAATGTAAGAAATTTGGAGAAAATTCAAGACAAATGGCTCCTGTTTCAACGATTTGTGACGAGTATTGTAGCCTCATGCAGCCTACACTGTTTTCTCGAAGGGTTACAAATCCGAGTTTACCTATTTCATGCGCACAATTAGAGTCGTTCGAAGAGGCTATCGACGACTTACTTCTCCCAACACTATTCGCTCAAACGGAGCCCCTCCCTAGTGATCTACGTCAGCTCGTTACTTTGACATCCGCTCAAGGAGGGCTAGGCGTACGCGACCTACGGTTTAAAGCTCCACAGCAGTTTGCTGCTTCCACGTTAATAATAGCACCGCACGTAGATTCTATTACCACACAGAGCATGTCCATGGTGGCAGGCGAGAATTTCACGGAGGAGTTAAAAAGAGAACATCAAGCCTTGAAAACTGCTTCGGTGAGATCGAGAATGGAAAGTATTGATTCCACTCTACCGTCGGATCTGCTGCGGTCAGTTAACCAATCGAGAGACAAGGGTGCGAGCTCATGGCTTACCACAGTGCCTCTTGTCAATCAAGGCTTAGTGCTGAACAAAAAAGAATCACAGACTCTCTGCGTTTAAGGTATAATATGCCCCTGTCCGACTTACCAAGCAAGTGTGTTTGTGGAGAGAAGTATACCGTTTGCCATGCCCTGTCATGCAAAAAGGGAGGGTTCGTGGCGCAGAGACACGATGGTATTTGCAACCTACTTCCTCACTTATTGGTAAGGTTTGCACCAACGTTGAAGTTTAACCACAACTACAATCAATCGAAATTAAGTGTCTTTTTTTTAAATCGAAAGGAATTGTAAACAGTGCTTTTACTGAATAGTTTTTTTAAGTTAAATTAATTGTGAATGGGATTTTACAGTTAGCTTTGTTATCATTAAAAGACTTGGATTAACAATAATAATAATAATAATAATAATAATAATAATAATAATAATAATAATAATAATACCGATAAAAGACCGGACATTGTAGTTGTAAACGAAGAGGAGAGAAAGTGCACCATTATAGTTATTGCTGTGCCAGGGATAGGAGAATGAGGGTGAGAAGGAGAAGCTTAAAAAAGAGATTGTTAGGATGTGGAACAAGAGAATTGCGCAGGTGATACCGGTTGTTGTAGGATCATTGGGAAGTGCAAGTGTGACAAAGAACTTGGATAAGTGGCTGGAAAGTTAGACATAAGAACTAGTACGTAATATTTTATTACTTCAGAAATCTAGGCTACTAGGAACAGCAACGATTTTAATTAAAGTTTTAGAGTTATAAATTAAGGAGATCATGGGATAGGACTCGCTCCCTTAGCAAGTGAATCAGTATGCGATCAGCCAGTGCAAAAAGCCAGAAATAATAATAACAATAATAATAATGATGATGATAATAATAATGATAATAATAATTATTATGATAATAATAATAACAATAATGATATTAATAATAATAATGGGCTAAAAAAGCCTATGACATGGTCCCACATTCTTGGATTATCGAGAGTTGGAAGTTAGCCCAAGAGGCACCAAATGTAATTGATTTCGTGTAAGATCAATAAAGAGCTGGAGCACTGAATTAACAGCTTGTGGACAAACACTGGGTGCGGTAAGAATCACATATTGCAGGGAGATATTCTATCACGGTTGCTGTTTGTTCTAGGTATGATACCAGTGACAAAGATCTTAAGAAAAGCCAGAGCAGAGTACGTGGTAGATGACATCAAAGTAAACAACCTGTTGTCTATGGATGACCTTAAACTTTTTGCCAAGAATGAAAAAGACCTAGCCTAGTCTCGGCCTAGTCTCCCGACTTTTTCGCTTATGTTCATTACCGCCTTGAATTTTAAATGCCGGACGTCAACGAGTTAGTTTTAAGTGCCCCACACAAAAAAAACCTCAAATATGCTATTTGTTTTTAACTCGTTAATGAAATCCTGTCACCGCAACAACAACAAAAAACTAATTCGGAAATAGTCACGTGACTGATGACGTCATTACCTTAGATGTGACATGGGAAGATAATTTATGACAAATGTTATGTTGTTATGGTCTGACAGTCTTTACGTATAAAATTGTCAAAGTTATAAAGCTTTTTGAAAAATTGTCCCAAAGGATTCTGGGGGATTTTTTATGATAATTGTAATTTACTTTTATAATTATTTCAGGATTAGAACCGAAGGGTGTTACACTCTTTTAAAATGATCAGTTGTTCATACTCAAAAGGTTCGACTGTTCTTTAATTGACGCTGAGAACCTCGTGTTAACACACACAAATAATTGCTTCCTGGTCGGTAAAGAGTACTTCCTCAAGCTCATTTGCTCATTTGCCCGTTCTCTCATTCGCTTTATCATTTTGAATTAATTTTGTTTCAGCAGCTAATGTGCTTTACTAGATTGCTTATTGTTTCGTTACTGTTTTACAGCTCCATAAAATAGATGGATAACTCTGCCAGCTTAATGCGCTTACCAGGATCTTCTTCTTCTTCTTCCTCTTCTTCTTCTTCTTCTTCTTCTTCTTCTTCTTCTTCTTCTTCAACCGGTACAAACACCTTTAATTCATGTCCTGCCATTCTGCCTACCTAGCGTTGCAAACAAACGAATTACGTACATCTCCAGTTTTTCGAGGACAAAGTAAAATAAGTAACTGATGAACTATTAAAATTCGTAACAGTCTGTGCTCAAACGGCAACATACAAACAGATGTACTAGAATAATTTCTAATAATAATTGGCTACTTATTATTTATAATTCTACTTCATCTCAAACTATAAACGAGCTTTAGCATATGCCGGTCATGTTTTAACAACTTTGTCAAAAACTAAGAGCTCTTCAACACTTTCGCCACACAGACATTATGCAAATTCACAATAACTGAAATTTCTGTAACACGCAGGACTGTTAAGATTAATAGGTTTTCAGAACTCTTAAAGTCATTTTTCTGAAAAACACTCTTTCATTTAGCGTAACATGTAGCAAAGGCGTCAGCGACAAAGAGGTAATTCTCCATCTAGTCCCCATTCCAATAGGTAATCCCACTTCATCCACCTTAATATACTCAAAATCAAATAACAACTTGCGCTTAGCTATCTTTTGAAAATTTAGTATATATGCGAATTTAGTACATACACACGCAGTGATCTTGGTGATTCAAGCAATCTGATTAGTTCGCTATGTCGGACTACAGTGACGTTATATTCACCACGCTAGGCGGTGAATATAAAGCAGAACAAAATCGCTGAAACCTTTCGAAAATATAAAATAGACAAAACATCAAATTGACTGGGACTCTGCGACATGTATAACGTATTTTACAGACTACTATCAACGTCTTACTTTAGAAAGCTGGTTTACTAACTTCGAACAAACGCCACTGAATAGTAGCCAACAGTTACCAGCGCCGTACAAACGACTTATTGAAGAGATCAAACTAACTACGAGAGCATGACAATTTGACTAACAATAGACGACTGTTTAACTGTGACAATAGACGGATCGAAACGCACCAATTACTGATTACGAATCTTCATAGCCAATAAAATCACGGCTTAACTGACAGACGACCAATAACATCTTGACGTAATTGACCAATCAGATCAATAACCAGAGTATAATACCATCAACTGACGTGATACAACTCACTTTGACTCGATCTGAAGATGACTACCACACAGGTTGTCGAAACGTCAGTCACTGTCAACAACAACAGTCCTATTCAGGACTATGTTCACCCAGACGATCAAACTCAACCTACTTTTGAAATGACTCTTTGGTTCAAATCTTTCACAGGTTTAAACTCTGCTAGTAACATCCTAAGACTAATCCAAAGACATTGACATTATTATTCAGTGATTAGTTTATGCATGGTGAAAGATAAGAGCCTGCAGTGATATCAGCTGGCATGCGATGTAATGATATTGACCTACAAAACCTAGTCGCATGGGTTGCTGGTACCGATAAGACTTAGTGTTACGTTTTTTGGTGATAAAAAGGCAGATACAAAACAATTATGACAAAAATACACTGGGCAAAATGCACACATCCGCTTTAATTCAACAACCAAATAGTCCAGGAGCAAATGTAATTTTAAGTCCCATATAGGAATTTAAGGCTGCAAGCGATCCACTCATCTGAATGTGTTAAGGGAACGCTAAAGAACATATACAAATTTTGTTTGCACTCTGGAAACTCGTATCGAGCCGTTTTATGAGAATTTTGAAATATGACCTAAATCTATGACATGAAAACGAGGCTCTGAGACAAAAATGACAATTATAACTTTCCACTATTTGAGTGAATTTGCTCCGGAATTAAAGAGATTGTGTTCCTTAATTCCTTTGATGACATTATACCGTACTCGTTTCTCAACATGGTCACGTGAAAAAATTAGCATGGAAACGAGGTCATGGAAATAAAGTAGCGATAAGTTCCTTCCGTTTGAATAAAAGTGCAGAATTTGCGAGTAATATGCACCTAGATGTATTAATGTATTATCATCATAACGTTTCGGTCATTAACATGGTCACACATGGCAATGCTAGCACGGAAATGAGGCTCTTGAGGTAAACATGCTAAAGTTTAGAAGCTTTTCCTCTCGACGATACAAAAAGATCAATAGCCTTGTACTTTTTTTTTCAATTACCTTAATAAAACGCCTGAACGAAATGAGACCTTGTCCTTTAAGTGCCAGTAACAAAAACTTTAGCTTAAGAACCTTCGAAAGACATAGCAGTTCTAAATTGGCGGAAGTACCCCTGCCCACCCAGTGTCTTATTGATTGCAACTTTATAAACGAATCACTTTAAACCTTAAATTGATTCAAGAATTGACTAATAAAGCCCTTTAATCAATATTTATTTTTTGGACAACAATGAGGTTTCAACCATAAACGGGTATTTGAGGAATCCTCTCGCCTCGGAGGGACTGGGCACCATTCCTGATCAGCAATAGTTTTCATCGAAAAAGAGACCATCCATTTTTACCCTATAGATCTGTGAATATGCACGTGTTACGATGAATACCGGAAACCCATCTGTGTTTAGATTGCCAATTACAAAAGGGAGAGGACAAAAGAAGAAGTCGCAGATGGCGTGTGATGTTCTCAGCAACATCAT